ACATAGCCAATCGAATCCGTACTCTCAATTACAAGTGTTTCCCGCATGCGCACAGCGTGTATTGAATATGCCGGGACCATGTGTAGGACATGGGGTGTCAGTTTGGGTGTTTTAATGCCTTTTATTATCTTTCGACAATGTCAGCAAAGTATTTCAGTGTAAGCATTCTGAAGGGTAGTGCGTGCTTATCAAAGCGAATCATGGAAAGTCCACTGGATGACACAGTTGGTGATTTGGCGACGAAAGCCGTATCGTCAATCACCGATGGAGATGGACTTTCTATTCAAGAGGTGCATGCAACAGAATCTAAAGCTGGTTCCTTCGGGAATATTGTCGAACTTACAACACCTATGCAAGTTTTAGCAGACTTTGGACTAAATTATGTGACAGTGGTGCTATTTAATTTTAGTGCATTCCACAAGTTAGCATAACACGTCAGCCATGAGTGTTACCTGATCATTAAACACGATAAAGTGATACTGGACAGAGTATTTCAAGTACTTGTATGTGCCAAATGTTTTCTTTTGTTTGACGTCAAGGGCTATTTAATTTAAGTGCATTCCACACGTTAGCATAACACTTCAGCCATGAGTGTTACCTGATCATTTAACATGATAAAGTTATACTGGACAGAGTATTTCAAGTACTTGTATGTGCCAAATGTATATTTGTTTTGAAGCCAAGTGCTGTTTTAATTTCAGTGTATTTCACATTGTTTTTATATTTTTAAAATACAATAAAACTTTAATAAGTTAAAAGCTTGTTGTTGAAGTCTACCTGCTTGTGGAAAACTGCCAAAAGATACCTGTAAACCCTGGTCATCAGTAAGGAGTGTCATTAGATAAAGGGACTATAGTGCCTTGCTTGCAACATGCGTGGTGGGTAAAACTGAAATACTTTTGCAGCTTCTGCGGCACAAGTGAGGGATTTTTTTTTGTTTTTTGGTCTGGCCTTACTGTTGAAAATAAATAACATGTATCCTGCGATACTTGACTCGCGTTTCTTTTGCATGTGAGTATATTTTTGGCATTCTGTCTTCTTAAAAATTATGCTCTGCATAATCAATAACAACTTGTAGTTACAATGGCACGATGAACTAGGACAGCCCGCCAATCATTAAATAGCACTCGTAGCGAATATGTAAACACTACATTGTACCCATGTCGGGAATCGAACCCGGGTCTTCGTCGTGACAAGCGAACGCTTTAACCACTAGGCTACCCGACCGCCCCTCGGCAAGGGAGGAAACTGGACTTTCTTATAAAGTCAGTTAACACCTTTGCCGCGGGAAGATGCCCAAGCCCCCTTGAGGCCCAGAATTCCAAGATGGCCGCCAAGAATGTGATGGCTAGACATGGAATATCAATACACTATTGGTCTCTGATAACATATTTGAGTGATTTGAATTTCTGCAATGGGGTAAACAGACCCAAGGATGCATGTAGAATACTCAATCATTTTCATAAATCCAATATAACCACCAAATATCAATATTTATCTCTTAAATGACATGTTTTGGTGAGTTTAGATATCAATGTTGATTGTTATTGTCTGAATCTACTTATTAACATGACAAAAAACGCTATAACAAGTTTTGTTTTCATTCATGTAAATACTTGTTGGAAACAAGTATGAGTTATGAGGTCCTCTCAGAATGAACCCAAACCATTTGTTTCACAAGAAGTCAGTGAGTTATCTCCCTTGTAGTTAGTTCATTTGCGGAAATTCAGTATAACCACCAAATACCAATATTTGAATGTAAATCTGAAACTTTTTATCCACTGCTAATTCTGTTACATGACTGTGGAATTTATGAACATTATTATGTGATGAACAGTGGAAAAAATATCATGGTGAATGCTGTAGCTTGACATTGCAGGGTCATTATATACATGTACCTCGAAAGTCTCAACAGGTTCGACATCCCCTGAGAAGTTTGGTAACTGTTTTTTGGTAGAGCTTGTACCATGGTATCCCCCGCACACAGCACTGCAACTGAGACCATATTTCCGGCAAGTGCATCTTCGTGTGTTATAGTCTTTTTTTGCAAATACAGCAGATGATGTCCAGGAGTGCTGAAGGTGCTGCTGATCAGAGTGGCAGTTACAGCCGGATGTTTTCCAGACGGTTTGCCAGTCCTTCAGCCACCCAAACGTTGACTTGTTCGCCACACGTTGCAATAACCAGCTTCAGACATTCATATCCTCGATACTGGATCATGACGCATTCGCCATCAAAACTGGCCTCAAAAAGGGAACATTCAAATTCTTTTGGTAGCGCCTTACTGGCCCAGTCGGACATGGTTCCTGCTCCGCCAGAGAGCCAAACTTAAACCTTCCCATGTTTCTGGTCTGCTCAGAAGTCCACACACTCGTCAACCACTCCTGTGCCCAGAGTCGTGGGATCTATGTGTGTGGTCCATTTGCAAAATGCATTGACGGCTCGGGGTTTGTTTATGGCAGCAGCTCATGCTATTCGTCAGACTCACTGCCCTTCTTCTGCCTCCTTGTATGATCAGAAATGGGGGGCGGTCGGGTAGCCTGGTGGTTAAAGCGTTCGCCGAAGACCCGGGTTTGATTCCCGAACATGGGTACAATGTGTGAAGCCCATTTCTGGTGTCCCCCGCCGTGATATTGCTGGAATATTGCTAAAAGCAGCGTAAAACCATACTCACTCACTCACTCAGAAATGGTTATCCTTCCAAGACTTATTGTCATCAACAGGATATGGATCCTTCTGTGGCTTCTTCTCTGCTCATAGCTGATTTCTTTGTCTATTTATGTGAGACCAAACATTTGTCTGCCGGTACTATAAACCATAACACCAAAGTAAATGTTCAATGATTTATTCTGTATAAACAAACGTAGAGCACATTAGGATCACATGTGTATACCAGGTTATCTGCGTGAAATGGGGCAAGACAAATGTTGCGCCAACACCAACGGACCACTAGGAGGATTGGGATGGAGTAGGTGGAGGAAGTCCAGCAAAAGTATACGCTCGAAGGATGAAGGAGCGCAGCCAAAAGAGGTAGTACAGGGAACTTCTGAGGTAGATTCAGTCAACAATGGGATGAAAAGTTTGTTTTGAGAGCGGAGCTTCTTTTGCGAAGGCAAGACGCATACAGATACAGTCGAAGTGCTTGAACTGGTCACCTGGGAGAGGCCTTTATGGTCATCAGATCCCAGGATCAACAAAAGTGGGGGAATGGTATATAACCGATCAGGTTGGCCGGGAAGTTGATTCTTTGCCACAAAATCCCAACAAAAGCTGAGGATGCTTGACCACTTTCGGATCTCTCAAACTGGACTCTGGTGACATCCAATGCATGAATTTCGCTAACACATGCTGCAGCACCCAGGTCCAACAGGAAAACGGTTTTACAGTGTTGACAGTCTTGAAGTCCATCTCTGCCAGTGGCTCATTATCACAGGAAACCAAATATTGCAAAATTCAGGTCCCACGAAGGGGGTTGAAAACGAGAGGCTTGGTCTGCAAGTTTATATGAACAGATGTGCTATTGTAGTTCCACAAGCATGGAAACCTTTGCCCCTGAAGTGGTGGCAATAATAGTCGCAAGGTAGGTGGCTAACGTTGGTCACTTCAGCTTCTGGGTCGAATTCAGGTGATGTAAATACTCAGCGATCTGCTGAGGTGAAGCTGAGGTAGGAGTTGAGTCATGAGTGCGACAAAAGGTCTCGAAGGCTGTCCACTTGTGATTGTAAAGGCGTGTGGAAAATGAACGATGAACTGCAGTTATGGTCTTGCTACACGCTTGGAGTAGCCTTTGGTGATAAGGGAATTCTGCAAATGTGCCAAACACAGAGATGGAGCGTTGCAAGGGACGGATGGAGCCACTGTGAGTGAGGTTTAAGAAGTAGGTCTCAGAGCAGAAGACGATGGAATCATTCGTCGGCGAGCCTTAGCAAGGTTGGGGAACCAATTGCACTTTGGCCAATAGGGTGCAACCAAAGTCAGAGACAGGTGACTGGTGGCTGCTACCTTCCCCAATTGAAAATTTACTTTCGTGTTATGTTTTTTTTTATTGTTCGTTTTATCCAAAATTGAGTCCCTTTAGAAGGGTGGATTACCTCGTCTGAAGAGACTTTTTAGTCTTCATCTACAAAGCTACCATTAAACTTATCTGTTCATAAAACTAAAATTGGTGTCCCGCTCACCTCTGCCTTGGGTATTTGTGATGTATGGTTTGGGTTGGAAGGTCCTTGCAGTGGAATACGGTCGATCGTTTCTCTTCTCGCCTTGGTTTGCTTCAGGCACTTGAATGTTATTGATAACCTTGACGAAGCGTTAAAAGAGTTACCAAACCTGGCACACTCTCTATTGTCTGTGGGAGATAGTTTTATGTTTTGAAGAATCGATTCCTATCCAGGATCAATTTTTAGTTGTCAGCCATTTCACTTATTCATTTACAGTTACACAGTCGTTCTGTAAAGAACGATGACATACGAATAAAAAGAAAGAAAAAAATATTCAGCATGTATTATCATTTCGTTTGAGTAACGTATCGGGATTGATCACACCGTTTGATCGTGTGTTTTTTGCACATGAGTTCCTGTCTTTTGGACACTAGTCAGTATGGAGGGACACATTTGACGAAATTAATGTAAATATTTTGAATGAAATTTTGATTATAATCAATAAAATAGTTTACGTAGATTACAAACATGGTGTAACAACAGGATTAACTTGCGTAATTCAATACAGATTTGTTGATATTCTATTTCTGTTGGAGGTCTGGCTAATGTACTGCACATAACATTTTGATACAGATTTCAAGAAACAAGTTAATACCACGGCTTATCTATTAGAATGGCTTATCAATGGACATATATGGTACAGTGACATGATAGCTCACCTGAACGACCATAACCTTCGAAACACATGAGACATGTTTGGTAGTTTGACAGACTACTTGGTATTCAGAGCTTGTGTCTATTGTGATTATGCCTTGTGTTTAATGGAGATAATCTGCTCTTCAGTGTGGCTACAGTGGAGGAGTTGACTCAGACGTATGTGTTGATGGCGGCAGACATGAAGGATGCCTACCTGGTCCACATCGTGCAGTCCTACACAGAGAAACACCCACACAGCTCCATCATCATTTTCACAAGCACATGCAAGTAAGTACCCTTGTGCCAAGTGATTAACCAACATAAACATCTCACATACTGCAAATGTCAGGACTATTTCCTTAAATTCATGAGAGAAAAAAAGCATTTTTCATTATCTTTTTCAATACCTGACAGCTGAAGAGGTCATGTCAACTGTCACAGCCAATAACAGCTGCTTATAAACAATATTTCATAAAAGGAAAACAGTAGTCAACTCTCCCTATATGTTGTATCAACAGATATATGTTTCTGTGTTTTTCATGTGAACAATTGACTTTGAATGTGTTTGTGATGGGTGCAACTGGTGGGTTGGATACTCTCACCTTTCCCTGAACACCTGGTATCATCACTAGTTGACAGTGATTCATAACCACATGCCCATGATGTAGGAGGAATGGTACAATGGATTCTGCTTTTAGTACAGATTTCTTATGAGAATGGAAATGTTTTTTGTCACTTTTTGACACTATGATGAACAAACATTGTTATATGAGTTACAGGAAATATGTAGCTGAAAGATGCTTTTGCAGGTACACCCAGATCTTGGGTATGATATTTGGAGAAGTTGGGTTTGAAGTAGCAGTCTTGCACTCTATGATCCCTCAACGCCAGAGACTTTCTGCCCTCAACAAATTCAAGTCAAATGAAGTTAGAATTCTTCTTGCAACAGATGTTGCCAGCAGGTTAGTTGTTTTTTGTTCTCTCAATAAAAGGTTATGGTATGTCATTTGTCTTGTACTGAGATGTTTCCAACATCTGCTCAGAACTTGAGTTGATGCATCAATTTTACCACCACAAAAACAAAAATTGTGTTTACACTTTGTCAGTCAATCAGTTTTTGTTTCTTAATTCTGAGGTCATAGGCCTATAGCACATGTATGTAAAGTAGTTGAGGGTACATTTATACAATAGAATATACATCAATAACCATGGTAACTGTTAAAGTACACCAAGTTGTTGAGTAAGTGCATGCCTACTTCGGTTCATAGCATGGAAAATGAACACTGACAATACTTTTAATTATTACAGTATATTTAGTCTTCAGTAGTAAGTAAAATTTATATAATTGAGGATCCTTGAAAAAATAATCATTAATGAGTTGGTTTCTAATGTCAACATAAAATGGACAAATGAGTTTGTGTGATGTTCATCTTCCATATTATTAAAACATACGTAGTTGACAGGTTCTTATTAGTGTGTGTCAAGGTCGTCGTACTTCTCTGGGAGCATGATTATTCTTCGCGATGTCCGGATTGGGTAAACTGTCTCTCAGCCTGGTCCTCAACTGCTGACATTTGTATGGTTGTGAGTTCTCTTCCTTTGACTGTCATCAAATGCTTCAGAAATGCTGTCACCTCAACCCATTTAGGTCGGGGATATATATTTATGCCAAGGAATTCCATCTGTCTGTCCTTCCGAGGACATAATTTTGTGTGACCTATAATGTGAAAACTACAGAATATATTCTTTTCAAACTTGGTGAACACTATTTATACCTATAGGAGAGGTGCAGATCGAAGTTTGATTTCAATATTTTGAGTTTCTGAAAAAATACAGCATTTTTTCATTTTTTTACTTTGAGTTTTTTACTTTTACTTAAACATTTGCCCAACCCATAACTTGAAAACTACTTCATGGATTCTTTTCCAATTAGAGGTTCAGTTTCTCTTCCAATGGGAGAGGTGAGATATAAAGTTTGATTTTCTGAAAAAATACAGCTCTTTTTCATTTTTTTACTTTGAGTTTTTTACTTTTACTGAAACATTTGTGTGACCTATAACTAGAAAACTAAAACATGAATTATTTTCAAATTTTTGGAACAGTTTCCATACTTATAAAAGAGGTGCAGTACAAAGTTTAATTTTGACATGTGTATTTTCTGAAAAAAACATGCTTTTTTTTCATGTTTTACTTACTTAGAATTCTTATACTTCAACATTTGTGTGACCTATAACCTGGTGATTAAGGCGGTAAAACAGTACTCACTCACTCTTTTCTATAATCCCTTCAGGAATCTTTGGTTGTAGTTGTCTGTTCATCTCAAGTTCTGCTGGGGGTGTTCCTGTCACAATGAGGCAAAGAAACCAATACAAACTTGGGGTATTCTCACTTCCAGTTTTTCTTTTCAGTTCTGAATACTTTAAAGGCTTTCAGTAAAACCCTATTAGTTCTGTGTCCTTGTCTGCCAGTCATTGTGAGATCAACCCTATTGAGCTTATCTGGGCTAACTGTAAAGGGTTTGTGGCATGACATACCCAAACATTGGAACCCATGCGTCATAGGGTTGCTCAATGCAGCCTTTGCTTAAATCACAAAAGTGGTGTGGCAAAAGGCTGAAGATTTCACTCCTGAAATAGAATGTCAATACCACCAACGTGACTGCACTAGTTACCATACCTTTGGGTGATAATACAGATTCAGATACGTCATCAGCTGAGTCAGATGATGGATAAAGAAATATCTGTAGAACAACAAATACTTCTTGATTGAAAAAAACAAAAACTTCCAAAATGAATACTCATTCCCTTTCATAGCTTTTAACTATTCCATAATTTTTCCAAGCAAATATGATGTTATACATAACTTAATTGCTACCCCTGTCAGTGAATATCTCACTAAAATACAATGATAGCAATATTTTGAGACCACCCCAACTCAGGTAACATTTGCACCTGTGAGAGTGAACGGCCAGGTGTGAGGTCATCACCTCGAGTGTTAGGTAATTACCTTAGGCTGTATGCTGTTTTAAACATGCATGACCACACACGTATATGTTTTAAGTTTATCATCATATTACCTGTAAAAGTAGGCTAACCACAGTGTCTGTTAGAGTAGGTTGGATTAGGTAGATTTTTGTTGTTTTGTTATGCTATTTTCATAGCCCTGTGATTCATATTATTAAATAAAGCCAGAAAAGCATTTTTACTATCATTTTCTGACAGTACTTTAGCACCAAGACTAAAGGGACTTTGAGTGTCACAATCATTATATGCCGTGACTTGAACACAAACAAAGAGTTCTCCTGTTCAGTTCCCCAGTACCACTCTATACTGGACTGAGTATGCCTTCTCAGAGATAGTAGCCCGGGGAGAAATCTGGCACAGTAGTTGACAAGTCCGGAAAAAGCTTCTCACCTCTGCTATGGTTGATGGAACTTTGGCTTTCACAATGGTTTAAACTATCTTCTGCTCAGGAGAAACACTTAATTTGAGATGATGTCTCCCATGAATAGCAGTTTCACGATACCAAATTGCCATTTTGACTTGTTGATCATTAGTCCAGACACCTTGCTCTGATCAAGTAATATTGTCAATTGTTGATAGGGCAGTATTTCTGTATTTCCTTAACACGCTGATGTCATCAGAGAGAGTGTTCACACCTTGCAAGGTATTTCAGATCTTGTTTTGATATATTTATGGTGCTAACGAGATACCAAACTTGAGTCGTTTGTATCCATGAGCGCCTTTTGTGGGTAACAAAGTCCCCTTGATTCTTGTTCAATAACAGTCTGGTGGTAACCCCATCAGGGTAGACTGCAGTATTTGGAAGTTGTTGAATGAAACATGTTCCACACATGCGCAGTTCGTTATTTGCGGTTGAAGTGAGAGGATTTTTAGGCTGCCATTTTTTCTAGTGAACACTGTCAAAATTGTAAAGGAAAGGACAGGTGTTAAAGGGGTGTTGATTTGCTCAAATAAATCGCACGACGGTAACTTCATTAATGAATGCATATGAATATTCATAGAATATTTCCTTACTTGCTCAAGCAAAAAGATCCCTTGAAACATTGAATTCAAATTCTTCCTCAGGTTCTGATTCAAAGAGATCTGCTGACCCATCTAAACAATTTTCTGGTTCATTTTCTTTTTCAGATTCTTAATTATTTGGACAGTACACATGGCTGATGAACTTAAGAAACTGAATAAAAGGATCAACTGAAAAACTTAAATATTTTTTTCTGATAATGTACTCAACAAATTAACTATCACACAGTCCTTTATTCGTTCCGTACCTTGGCAAAGATGCCAATACTGCTCTCCAAGTTGATTCTATTTTATTTGTACAAGCCCCTGTTTCTGAATTTACAAATTCTACACTATGATTAACTTTCCAGTGAATCCCCTTCAAAGATTCCAAACAATTATAAGCCTTCCAACAGTCGGAATGAATGATTGACCGCGGTTAAATCCATCTATTAATAAATGGGATAATTGTTTCACAATTTCGTTTCTCATCAGCAGTGATGAACATCTTACTAGAATTTTTTCAATCTCACTAAACACCTAAACACCATTTACTCTCCTTCCCCTGTGAAACTTCCTTTTCCCAAATTTGGACTCATTTATTTCTACCTCTACCCTAGGTCCCCCAACAGCCTCATTCTCTCGTTCCAAAATTTCCAAACAAACCTCCCTGCAAAAATTGTGCCAATCAACCAAAGTGTGATCAGCACCAAGTTTCAACTGAACTTTAACAAAATCTTCTTTAGACCTGTAAACCCAATAAAAAGTAATTTCCAAAATGTCAGGAATGGACAAATTACAGGAAGAACGATTCAGTGAAAACTTATGATGACACCTCTTGTTGCTACAGCGCCACCCATATCCCTCACGCCTACTGCTTTTCCTTCCCTGCTAGTCACACCATTCTCACACTTACAGCAAACAACTATCCACTCACGCCTACATCCTCTAACTAGTCCAAAAGTCTCCCCTTATCCCTGCACAATTCATATATATCATCACACACAATCCTACTGTCAGACATTCTTGAAAAGTAATAAGAATTACTGAGAAAAGTGACAAATAGCGAAAGACTTACCAGCCGTGAAAAGAACTACAAGGGTAGTGGCCTTCGTAGTAACGAGTCATTATAAGGAATGTCCCACCCACAAAGTCGACACCACGAGAATATGTCTTTACTCTCTGTTGTAAAACTCTCGGTCTCCCATAGGGGCGTAGTTTTAGACTATACTTTTCATTTCCCACTCATATTTTGTTTGTTTTTTGCTAAAAAAATGCCTCCGAACAGATTTCAACATGCTAGTGTGTGTGCGCTTATATAAAAAAGCAAAGCTGCCAAAGGCAGTAGTCTCCTTATGGAAGCCGCTGATGTGGGTAGCCAAATACTGCAGTTAACCCAGCCCATCAAATACCCATCTTTGAAAACACTGCAGCTTTGCTCAGATTATTTAGAATTTCTTATACAGTTGGAATCAGATGTATCTCTCTAACCACTGCTACATTTGCCGTGTGCATGTCAACACAAAATCTGATGTGTTTAGAGCTCTTTGGTTCTATGGGAGACTCTGCCTTCTCAAGTGCATGTAACTTTTCTTCACTTGTTTTTCCAAACACTGAATCAAAATGTTCAATCACTGAATCCAAAGTCTGAACACCAGTCTGTGTTACTGGTTTCACCTCTTGCATGGTTCACATGAATCTTTTGCTGGTAATTCTTCAGTTTCCCTTGACCCCCAAAACTGTCCCAACTGGTGCTGGGGTTTCAGCTGGGGCTTGGACTTGAGCTGTTGCTAGGGCTGGTGCTTGAGCTTGGACTTGAGCTGGGGAAGGAGCGTGGGCTTGAGCTGTTGCAAGGGCTGGTGCTTGAACTTGGACTTGAGCTGGGGCAGAAGCGTGGGCTTGAGCTGTTGCTGGGGCTGGTGCTTGAGCTTGGGCTTGAGCTGTTGCAGGAGCGTGGGCTTGATCTGGAGCTGGGGCTGGGGCTGAGACTTGAGCTGGGGCTGGGGCAGGAGCGTGGGCTTGAGCTGCTGCTTGAGCTTGGACTTGAGCTGGGGCAGGAGCGTGGGCTTGATCTAGGGCTGGGACTGGGCCTGAGACTTGAGCAGGGGCAGGAGCGTGGGCTTGATCTAGGGCTGGGACTGGGCCTGAGACTTGAGCTGGGGCAGGAGCGTGGGCTTGATCTAGGGCTGGGACTGGGCCTGAGACTTGAGCTGGGGCAGGAGCGTGGGCGTGGGCTTGAGCTTGAGCTGTTGCTAGGGCTGGTGCTTTAGCTTGGGCTTGAGCTGTTGCAGGAGCATGGGCTTGATCTGGAGCTGGGGCTGGGGCTGAGACTTGAGCTTGGGCTGGGGCAGGAGCGTGGGCTTGAGCTGCTGCTTGAGCTGGGGCAGGAGCGTGGGCTTGATCTAGGGCTGGGACTGGGCCTGAGACTTGAGCTGGGGCAGGAGCATGGGCTTGATCTAGGGCTGGGACTGGGCCTGAGACTTGAGCTGGGGAAGGAGCGTGGGCTTGATCTAGGGCTGGGACTGGGCCTGAGACTTGAGCTGGGGCAGGAGCGTGGGCGTGGGCTTGAGCTGTTGCTAGGGCTGGTGCTTTAGCTTGGGCTTGAGCTGTTGCAGGAGCATGGGCTTCATCTGGAGCTGGGGCTGGGGCTGAGACTTGAGCTGGGGCTGGGGCAGGAGCGTGGGCTTGAGCTGCTGCTTGAGCTTGGACTTGACCTGGGGCAGGAGCGTGGGCTTGATCTAGGGCTGGGACTGGGCCTGAGACTTGAGCAGGGGCAGGAGCGTGGGCTTGATCTAGGGCTGGGACTGGGCCTGAGACTTGAGCTGGGGCAGGAGCGTGGGCTTGATCTAGGGCTGGGACTGGGCCTGAGACTTGAGCTGGGGCAGGAGCGTGGGCTTGATCTAGGGCTGGGACTGGGCCTGAGACTTGAGCTGGGGCAGGAGCGTGGGCGTGGGCTTGAGCTGTTGCTAGGGCTGGTGCTTTAGCTTGGGCTTGAGCTGTTGCAGGAGCGTGGGCTTGATCTGGAGCTGGGGCTGGGGCTGGGGCTGGGGCTGAGACTTGAGCTGGGGCTGGGGCAGGAGCGTGGGCTTGAGCTGCTGCTTGAGCTGGGGCAGGAGCGTGGGCTTGATCTAGGGCTGGGACTGGGCCTGAGACTTGAGCTGGGGCAGGAGCGTGGGCTTGATCTAGGGCTGGGGCTGGGCCTGAGACTTGAGCTGGGGCAGGAGCGTGGGCGTGGGCTTGAGCTGTTGCTAGGGCTGGTGCTTTAGCTTGGGCTTGAGCTGTTGCAGGAGCATGGTCTTGATCTGGAGCTGGGGCTGGGGCTGAGACTTGAGCTGGGGCTGGGGCAGGAGCGTGGGCTTGATCTAGGGCTGGGACTGGGCCTGAGACTTGAGCTGGGGCAGGAGCGTGGGCTTGATCTAGGGCTGGGACTGGGCCTGAGACTTGAGCAGGGGCAGGAGCGTGGGCGTGGGCTTGAGCTGTTGCTAGGGCTGGTGCTTTAGCTTGGGCTTGAGCTGTTGCAGGAGCGTGGGCTTGATCTGGGGCTGGGACTTTTGTTAGGGCTTGGACTTGAGCTGGGGAAGGGACTTGAGCTTGAGCTGGGGCTGGGGCTTGAGTTGGGGCTGGGACTTGAGCTGGGGAAGGGACTTGAGCTTGAGCTGGGGCTGGGGCTTGAGTTGGGGCTGGGACTTGAGCTGGGGAAGGGACTTGAGCTTGAGCTGGGGCTAGGGTTTGTGCTGAGGCTGGGGTGCTTTCTCGTTCTTATGATGTCGTCATATCATATTCAGGTCATTAGGTTTGTTATTTTTTAGTCCTCGGTATGTATGTAGAAAATATTTGAATATCAGTGCTTACAAACACCTGTGTTAAGTGACGTTTTCTGATGACTTACATATCCAGGTGAGCTAAAGTGCAATGGCACTATCTTTTTCACCATTCTGTAGAAAGGTATTGCTGTGCATATGAAAGTTTCATGCATGTTTTTGCTCTCCAAAGTTGATTAATATGTATGTGTTTCCTTGTAGAGGCCTGGACATCCCAACAGTAGATCTTGTCATTAATCACAACGTTCCAAACAGACCCAAAGATTATGTCCATCGAGTGGGACGCACAGCCAGAGCAGGTACTGTCACATCATCCAATATCAGAGTTGCAGCTGAAATTGTTATGGTCTCATGACGAGGTTATCGGAAGCTCAATTAAAGATGAGACCATTGCTGGCATCTCTCCACTTAGTCATTCACCGTCCAGTGTTCATTAACATTACCTTATTGTTTTCTGGACAGTGATTAAGCAGCCCCCCGAAGCAGTCTCCTGAGTTTAAACATAACAATGTGTATTTAGTGATTTTATCACTTAACTAATGTACAGGTATATGTCAAACATTTTCAGATTGCATTTATATGTGCCGGCCAAAATAACTATGTTTTGATTTCTAATGATGCTTTCAGTGATGCTAATGACCAAAATATACTCTGCAAAAAGATGCATAAAAAATTACACAAAATAGTACAAAATATACAATATATATCTATATTTCTTGGGAAAGTGTCTTCAGTATGACAGTTAGCATACAGTTAGCATACAGCTTTGATTGAACTTCTGAACAAAAGGTATGATTTATATAACATGTCGTGTTACACAACATGAATGAATGTTGAAGCCTTGAACAATAATTAAGAGGGCAGCTGATGATGAAGTTTAGAAACTGCAAAAGAAATAAAACTCTTGCAAAGTCAGAATAGCCAACACAAACTTGAACCTTTCAAATTGTACAAAAATCCAAATTCCAAATTGCTAGAATCAACAATTACCAAAATGAAATTTGTCTTTGACAACAATATGCATGTAAAGAAAGTGAGTGGGTGAGGTGAGGTGAACAGTATTCAAGTTATACCACAGCATGTCAGCTGAATGTGGGAGGAAAGTCTGAAGTGATGCAGGTCTCAGACTTTTACCACTTTGGTGAAACCCATGAGGACAGGTATGGTGCTGACAAACATGGAAACATAAACGAGGCAAGCTGGGATTGAAATACACAATCAAACCCCCAACTCTGCACAGTGAATTGCAGTGCCATAGAAGACTGGACTGCCAGTGCCCCTAAATGTAAAGAAAGAACTCACACCTGTGTCTGCCATAACATGTCAAATTGTGTCCCCTGGTCCAGACAGATGCCAGCATGTGGCTCTTGAAATAAGCTTGCAAAATAGCAGGCAGCAGTCTGGACTTGAATCCTGAACCGCAGGATTGGTAAATGTTTCACTAAACTAGTGTCCAAAATAGTGTATAACATGAGTTTGAAAGACTATGAAAGAAAAACATAAGCATGTACCAAGTCAATATGTATATATTTCATTACACATAATGTGTAGAACTGCTCATGTTATCCACGATTCAGGATTTCGATTACTCCTTGGCCCTTTACTCAGGTCACAGCTCCGATCATCAAGTTTGCAAACATCCAGCTTGTCCATCTGCATTTTTACCTAGACAACTTGATAAGAATTAACTTTCAATATGTGATTTTTCACATCTGGACTTGTTTGCAAGTTTTCTCAGCAACAAGCTCCCAGTGTACTGGCCCAGTACCGGATGCACAAGCACTTTAAGTATCGGTAACGATTTATCCATGGACTGGACAGGGATGTTATTTCTGATCCTCAAGGAATAACCTCTCAAGTTGCCAGAAGGACGAGATTTTCTGCTTCAGCCAAGATCAGACATAATGTACAGCACAGTCTTCACGCCCAGATGTTATCCCAGGTCAAATGCAGGCTTCCGGTCTGCCTCAGCAACAGTGGCAAAATCTTGGGTACCATCTTCTTCCGCCATCTTCAAGAACTGATGGGACAAGTTCTGTCAGTGGAGAAGATGAGGAGGATTGGGACATGAAAATATTACTATTCCAATGGTGGCGGACTTCCTACTTCATCTCTGCCAAGACAACATGTTTCATCATGGTAACATAGTTTGTTTGTTTGTTGTTTGTTGTTTTACGCCGCACTCAGCAATATTCCAGCTATATGATGGCGGTCTGTAAAATAATCGAGTCTGGACCAGACAATCCAGTGATTGACATCATGAGCATCGATCCACGCAATTGGGATCGATGACATGTATCAACCAAGTCAGCGAGCCTGACCACCCGATCCCGTTAGTCGCCTTTTGCGACATGCATAGTCGCCTTTTACGGCAAGTATGGGTTGCTGAAGACCTATTCTACCCCGGAATCTTCACTGGTCCACGGTACCATAGAGGGTTATTGAGAGGGTTAACTTCAGTTCTACAACATGATAGGAAATCATCCTCAACAGATCTCTTCCCAAAATGGAATCTATCACAAGTCTTGTCTGCTCTTTAGGAGGAACTTTATGAACCATTATTTAGTGCTACACTGTTTCAGAAGTACAGGAAAACAGCTTTTGTTCTAGCTATGGCCACAGCCACTAGAGTATCAGGTCTTCATGCATTGGATTCCTCAGGTATGGCTCACACAGAAGATTGTAATTCTATCATAATCAGGTCTCTCCCAGAATTTGTAGCAAAGAACCAGTGACTCTAGGTCCACGTGGTCACAGACTTTATACTATTCACACATTGCACAGAAGTGTGGACCATCCATATTGTCTCCTATGCCCAATTTGTGCACTTAGATTCTATCAAGAAGCAATGGAACCTAACAGAAGACACAGGAAGTAACTTTTTATATCTTGCAAAACAACATCGGATAAAGATATCACAAAAGCAACTGGCACATGTTGGTTGAAGGACGACATTACAGACAGCTACAATAACATTCAGCTTTCTACACCTGCATATGGATTCTTTACAGTGCACGATATAAGAGCTCCACCTTCCAGCCTAGCATCTGGGAGTTCAGTGGCGATGGAACAGTTGGTAATCTCACAACTTGTTCACTAACTTCTACTTACATGACATTCAACCAGAACTAGACAGGGTTTACTTCCTGGGATTAGTACTCAATCATTTCACAGTAGTTCTCCCTGGACTCATTATTGTGTTAATGGAAGGGATCACGTTTTGACGTTACAGGAATGATGTAAAGGCCATAGGAAGTGATGTCATCAGAACCAGAAGTGATGTCATCAGAATTGGAAATGATGTCACAAGTGAGAAATGTCACAAGTGAGATATAACAGTAGTTCTATGGAAGTTAACACATATTTGCCTTGTCTTTGACATTCTTCCGAATTACCCTATTTACTAGAGTATAGTGCACACTTTTTTCAAAAACGAAACAGCTGTATAGAAGGGGTGCGCATTATACACACCATAATGAGTTTTGATGGGTTTTTTCAAAGACATTACCGTGAGCATGTAACACTGGAAATACCATGTCAACAAATCCGTACTGAAGTACACAAATTAATTATGTAATTACACTGTCTGGTTATAAAAAGTATTCATTGTATGTCTGACTTATGTTTGTAACTTATTTCATTAATTTCATTCAAAATTCCTTTTGATATTGTTTTAATTAATATCAGCAAAATCATGTGTGAACCAGACCTGTCATCCCCTTATCATGACAATGTGGGAGATTTGACTTCAAAATGGGGGAGATTTGCCTCAAAAGGGGGAGATTTTTAAGATAGTGAAGATAAGATAATTTCCAACTTTTATTTTTAATAATGTTACAAAGAAAACCAAATATTTTGAAACAATAAATAATAAATAAGTTTCTTATACGTACAGCTTGCTTAATTTCCGTTTGCATTTTCCTCCTCCAAAAATTAAACCCAGCACAATCTACCCATATAACTTTCGTTCAAAGATCATCTCAGATAAACGCAAACAGATATTGAAATTTCACAATCGGTAGCTTGACCAGTTGACGGCGTGTTCAATCCGACCAGTTGTCAGGCTTCGTTACGATGCAGGTTTTCTGAGTATTTGGCACGATGTTGGTTACAAAATTCGCCAAAGAAATATCAAATGCATTTATCCTGACGCAACATCATCGCCCTTAGTTTCAATAAGATATACTGGGTTTTTTTCTGTCTGCGGTAGTCTGTTGACAGTCCCATTACTTCGCTTCTTAAATTTCCTAGAAATGTTCACGTTATTCCATTCCAAGAAATGTATGCCATATTTGGAAGTACTATTACGTTTTACTACAATTTATGAATGAAATGAGTCTCGTTGTCGTTGTTGACCTTTCTGACCTTGACGTGTATTAATCTCATTGGTTGACTAGTACTGTTGTATGCAAATTAGATTGCAGATCGGGGACGTAAGCAAACTATTAGCCAATCCAATCGTGTAAAATAATCACATGATACATTCTCGCAAAATTTGATAAAGTTCTGTTTTGATATTTTCTGTGCACACAAGTCACGATGTCAGTCAAAAGGAAATTTATAAGTTTCACTTTAAACTTTGACTTTGAAATCCTAGCTGTGAGGAAGCCTGATCGTGTAACTCATTGTTATTTCGACTACCGAATCAACCAATCACGCATAGTGTTGTTTCTGAAGATGGCGCTTGCAGGACATATTTTGTTTTCATTTCCAAGAGTTCAATGACGTAACTTTGAGGTATGTTGATGTTTTAACAAAGTTTCTGACAAATCTGATAACCAATAAAGTCATGTATAACTGGACCGGCCATATGTATCTACATTCTTAAATTGTGGAAGAATAAACACGCTAAGAACATGAAGACAACAGTACATTTCATGAAGTGATGAATACTTGGCTGATTTTTCATTTCAAGTTCAACCCTTCAGGCACCTGTTAGGACTATCCGAGTTTTCTTAACAGTTTACATTATTCAATCGTTCACCATATGAATTTAATTACCATTTGATTACTGGACAAAGGCCCATCTGGGTCCCCCTGCGGGTGGCTGTGATAAGGGTCGCTAATCCGGGAGCCTACCGGACAGATCAGGACGCAAACTTCCCGTTCATTGTTTTCACTCACGGGACAATGAGGCGATTTTTTTAAATGATGAAGAATTCTGTTTTGCGGGAGAAATAGTCCATCTTGCGGGAGACTGGGAGATTTCATCAAATTGCGGGAGTCTCCCGCAAAATGTGGGAGGGTTGACAGGTCTGCAGTGTGAACCCATCAGAAGATCGCACAACTCACTGTTATTAACAGCAACCATGGTCAGATTACCGCTATTGACGCCATGAAACAAACTTTAGTTGACAGAGAATGGATACATATATCATAAATGCCATACTTTGACTCGTTAAAAGTCATATTTGTTGTACGATTCTATGTCAACAAGTAGTTCGTGTGATCACGTGCACGGGAGCCTCGATGGTGACTGTTCAAACTGTTACAGCTGGCAAAAATAACAGGCAATTGCAATCTCCTGCACTGAAGTGCTACGCTTAGGGTTATTATCATTTTAAATATATTTACCCGTAATTAAAGCTGCAACTATAAATAAGATGATATTGGAATATATTATCCCTCTTAAAAAAAATAGTTTCAGATACAATTTTTTCCGATCCTTGCATTAAAATCCTTTAAAGTTATATCTTTGGGTTTTAACCGAATCACCGGTAGATCCCAAAAAAACGTGTGTACAGCTGATTGCTGTTTCCGGCTTAGTTTACGAGAAAATATGCAAGGTAATTGAACAGAAGGAAACAATTGTTCTTTGTTGGGTTTGGTATACCCCGTTCAAATACACTCGATTAATATGGAAGTGCTTGCCCAAACACACCCGTTGCGCATGTTCTTTTGGGGGGGTAAATCTTGTGCGTGTCATGCTGTTGTGACAGACCACTACATAGAACAGAATAACATTTTTTAGTTGTCATTTTTATTCGTTGTGGGAGGAACACGTCCTCAGAGCTCCAGTCAGGAGATTGCTTTTGCTTATATTAGAATGAACTTCCATTATCCACTTTATAACAGAAAGTGGTCAATTATTCACTTTCGTTGAATATATAGAAACATTTCATTTTGGGGTGATTTGGTCGGTGTGGCAAAGAAGGTTTGTGTTTCTGTCTTTAGTCTAATTAAAATGTCCGACATGATATTTTTGACTTGTTGTTTACTTAACGGGGAATAAAAAGTGCCTCATTCCCAGTAATCTTAATCCCTTGATGTAAAACAATGCCTAGCTGAACAAAAAAAAACAATTTAAACGGTAGAATTTATGTCTGGTGATTTTGTATCTCAAATTTCAAATTTGTACTGACCAAGTTTCTTATCACCCATTCGTTTACCAGAATTCTCTGAAGGGGTACAGTGTGAAGTTCGCATAATGTTCGAATTTCTTTTTCCAAAATACTGAATCTGCTAGAGGTGGGTGCACATTATACTTTGGTGCGCACTTTACTCAAGAAATTCCTCAAGTAGGCCCTTTTGAGGTGATTCGGTTTAATGTATACCTATTTTGATCAGGAGATCACTTTAAAGGGTTTCGTGGTTTGCTCGAACTGCACTATGCATGGATGTCAAAGGTCAAACCAATGCGAAACAGGTTGCCAAAATGCATTTCCATCCTTCCCTGTACATTAAAACATATTTTGGACTTTATAGTTAAGTTTCAGCCAAATAGGGCACATGGATACTTCCTTCTGCCTTTCAGTACATGTCAATATTAGTAGTGTCAAAAACAATGATAATTTGTGAGAACAAGGTGGATATGAATGAGGTAAGATGTGAGTGGGTGATGTGGAGGCTGTTTCACTGGGATTCTCCTTTCTGTTTGGCAGGTCGAGATGGTGTGTCGCTTACATTGGTCACACAGTTTGATGTGAAGCTGGTACATGCTATTGAAGCCTTCATCAGTAAGTAACTGCTTCTGTACGTGGAAAAATTGCCAAGTGCACTTTTCAAGAAATATCCATTTTGCCAGCGATATACATGTACATCATCAAGTTTTGATCATGTGATTACTATTCAGGTACGCCTCTGCAGTCAGATGACAATATTTATGCTAATTTAACCACTGTGCGGCATACGTACATTACCAGCACTAACTGAATGAAAAAAACCATGCAGATGTAGTATTAAAAGTGAAATTGAGAAAGTTCATTGCTCAATATGTGATTCTTCACATCTGGACTTGTTTGCAAGTTTTCTCAGCAACAAGTTGGCACCCGACTGTTGACCCTTACCCGGATTGAAACCATGTGATCAAAACTCAGTGATGATGTTTATTGCTAGCAAAATGGATATTTCTTGCAAATTGCTTTTTGCAATTTTTGTCATATTCCTTATCTTTTAACTTTATAAGTATTAGCACACATGCAGCTATCTTTGTTAATTATTCATCACAATACAGTCAAGTCTCGTTAATCCGACACTCGTTAATCCGACAATCGGCTTTATCCGACACTAATGATGGGAACTGATTAAATCAGTGCTATTAAGATCCGTTAAATCGTGTAGTTGTCCGATTTTCGATCACGAACGTTCATATTGCTTAATTTCATTTATCCGACATATTCGTTAATCCGACATAATCATATGCAACCAACCACGTCGGATTAACGGGACTTGACTGTATTTCAGGATTCTATTCTATAAGTGGCGAGGACCATAGAAGTTCTTCTCCAAAAATACTGGACATATTAATATAACTTTCACATAAAATGTTGATTTATCAAAGGGTAAGTCACAAATTGTACAACATTTAGATGAGAATAACAGTCACAAAGTTTATAAATTATACATACTGTAGTCTCACAGGTATAGAAACATCTTCCAGTCTTAGACCGCCGCCTATTTTGGCTGGTGGATAGCCCACGCCTCAATTTGTAAAAACATCATCATGATCGGCTCGCCCAGACCAGTCAAAACAGCATCCATACCGACCAGTAACTGTTACCATCTAATATATAATTAGTGTCTCATTGGTTTGTTATTCTTATGATCGACCCTGTTATGTTTTTCACAGTTCTACAAAAATCAAAGTTAGATTGAGCGACAAAATGGAAATCCATTAGGAGGCTTTCATGAATGCAAGAAATGTACAGCTCAGAAACCGCTAGAACATATTCTCCTTCTTCTTTGTTTCATAGATTTTGTTTAGGCCATTGGCAACCCCCTTTGATTAAAGTCCCAACCGGACTATAAATAGCGCGGTATTTTGCGAGATCTTAGTGTTTGACAGACGTTGCGATGATCGGTCAGCCAGTAATCGGTGACCCAAAATCTTGAATAACTAAAGAATGAGACAACATTCACATCCAAATCTTGGCAGACAGATTTGCCCTACACCAGTCAATGTAACAAAAGTCACACGATATAAAAAAATATTACATTCGATCTGATGTTTGGTTGTAAAAAATCCAGTCGTCTGTGAAACAACTTTGCACAACAGAAGTGGGAGGAGTTAGCCTTTGGTCAGCTGACATCTACTGCGCGAGCGAATCTAATTATAGTAAACCACGTGGCGAACTTGCACATGGCACAACTTCTCGAAGTGTTTGTTTACTTGCAACGAAACTGCCAAGAAACTACCAAATGGCATTACAAAGACGTTAAGTTCAGTACCACAATGAACACATACTCATACAGTTTACGACTGTTTTGTGCAGGTATGTTGTGAAGTTGCCGAATGGAAACTATTTTGACTTGCATTGAAATGTCACATCCGCATGAAACAATCTGTGAGTCAGACCGAACAACTTTTTACACAGGAATTCCAAATAAAATATATCTAGAGCTAGATACTGAAACCTCATTACAGTTTGCTTATATTTCTTTCACATTTATGAGCCAAAAGGACAAACACGACAGGTCTAGTCATTGTAAAGAGTGCAGGCTAAAACGGCACCTCAGCAAAACGTCACTGGTTTCTCTGGCGGCACCGCATTTGGCGAAAACATTGTAAAAGCGACTATGCAAATTAACTTATACAAAATAAATAAAAGTTATAATGTCGACAATATGTAGTTTATTTATACACAAATCTATCATCTTTGGTGGACATGTTAATATAACAGTTTACACATATACACAATATGAAGTAATTCTTGATTCGATTTCTACAAATCAGATGATCAATTTGAAATATGTAGACAGTGCTTGTTTATAGAAATATGCAGGTTATGAATAGTCGATGTTTACTTCAGGAGACGTCTTACCTTTCAACCTATTTAGCATATTTATCACCACGTATGTTCCATAAAATCCATATTCAGAATATACAATGTATTTGAATCCACGATTCAAAACACAATCAGGCACAATTTCACGGCGCACACTAGTCCGAATTATCATCAACAGTTTCGTACAGTCACGAGTCAACAGTCTTGAAAAGATCCCTCGATGATTCCTCAAAGCATTCCTTCTGTCCAACATCGTCCAACAGTTCTTGGAAAGAGTTTTGAGGACTACCACCACCTATGTCCCATACAATCCCGATTAGGAATGTTTGGATATAATCCACGAACATGGTTCAAAACACAATTGGCCATAATTTCCCGGCACACACAAACAACAGTTTCGTCCAAATGGTCACGATTCAACAGTCTTGTCTTCTTGGAAAGATACCTTGGATTCCTCCATGCATTTCGTCTATCCAACATCGACCAATAGTTCTTGTAAATAGTCCTTCGAACCCCACTATTTCTGTCGTGAGGGGCGGAGCCTCAGCCAAGCCATCTTTGTGGAAATGTTGTCACACACGGGCGGCAAAAACAAAATTCACATTCCTGAATTTCCTGGAAACGATCGTCGATACTGACATTCAGATCACAATCTAAAACGTTCACTCCATCCTCAGCAATAATAAAAGTAGGGGGTTTCTCTGACGAATCTACTTCACCGGTGACATCTACACTTGCATCACTCAACTTGTCTTCCATGGCTTCGTCAATCGTTGCATCACTTTCCCCCGTCTGAACACTGGCATCACACGACGAAACGTCCTGCACTGCGGCATCGTAATCCCATCCCGAGTAAATAAATAAACTTCGAATGGCTTCTTGTTGCATTTCATCAACATTTAGTGTAATAGTGAACTGGGATGACATCATGAAAGCGTTGAAATATATAAGCAGTGAACGAACGTGAAAGCGACCTGTCAAAATTTTCTTGGTTGTGACACCCATTAGAAACCGATAGAATTTGGAAGCGCTCATTATATGAAAGATATATTACACATCATGAAAAAGTTTGATGAATATACAATTTGTAGCGATTTAAGGAATGTTTCATTATTTACCGTGAATAAGTATCATTTCACATTACAAATAAGCCTATTTAGGCATGGCTAGTCGTCATAAATCAAAATTTCAACTTAAGAAAAGCACCCTCTACAAGTACAACCCTCAAAATAATGGTAGCGCGTTGTTTTGGTCAGCTGTTTCTTATGTCGTGTGACCCAAGCGTTGGTGGCTAGTCTAATACACGACGGGTTGGATGGGTTGTGTTGGTCTGGAGGGTTAATCAATCAAAACAATCAATCAAAACAATCAAAACGACCAATTTTGTATTATATAAACAAAAATTGTGGGAAACGAAATAATATATGCAACTCAAGTTAGGTTCTCGAAAAAGTCTCAAAGTTAAACTCTTATCAAAAGCGAAAGTCACCTGTCACACCCCTATGGGTTACATAAGCCACGCCCAATTTCCCGCTTTTCTCTATTTGTTGTCTGCTGATTTTATGCAACCGATCTGTAGATCTAGAGTGACGGATATTGTTAAAAATGGCAGGTATTGCTAGAATTTTAAGCGATAGTAACGGGATTAAGAGAAAATATTCAAAAGACAATCCAGAAGCTGTGAAACGAAGAAATTCGGAAACTTCACCACAAGGAAAAATTAACTTTTCAGCTGAAAACAGAGACGAGATTGATTTCATTTATGAACAAGCGAAGAAAATCAAAACTTTTCTTGGAGAAGGGAACCCTAATCTTGTGACAAACAAACAACTTCTCGATAATTCTTTCTCATATTTTATTGAGAAAAATATCGATCCAGTCCGTGCAAACGTTTTAACAGATGATGCAAACGATGGGAATATTACTGACGAATCTTTTACGTGTGATTCTTCATTCTGCAAGTGTGAAAATACGGATGAATGCAATCAAAAGATGTTTTGTGCCTCTGAAAATGCTCTTGAAAACCTCTGTGATCGACTATATTCGCACAGTTTGTCATGCTCGTTTCCTGATCAGAAATTGGACATGAAAATGATTGGACATGTTGCCTATGTTACTTTCAGATGTGAAAAAGATCATGTGATAATATGGCCCAGTTCACCCTATCTTGGTAATAAATATTTGGTAAACTCTCGCATGTGTCATGGATACCTTGTGTCTGGAATGTTACCCAATCAGTACGACAGATTTGCGAAAGCAGCTGACATTGGAAGACTTGGTTCAGCTTACATATCTGACATGTTTTCAAACTATAAAGAAGTCGTTTGTGATTTAAGTCGTGAATCATGCGAGGATGCACTTTTAGAAGAAATTGTGACCTACCCGAATATGGATGGAATTAATATTCTCACTGACGCTCGCCATGCCACACGGAAAAACTCCCGTTTTACTGATGTTGTTTGCATTGGAGCTAACACTCACAAAGTTATCAGGGCGGAAACTGTATCAAAAGTAGACAATGCCTGCACACAAAAACACGAACTTATTGGAACTCAGCGTAACTATGAATATCTTGATAGTGTTGACAATGGTGTCGGAGTACATGTGAAATTACATTGTCATGACAGGAATTCGTTCATAAATAAATTTATCAGGGAGGAGCGCCCTGATACAACGTCAACAAATGACACATGGCATGCTACGAAAAATGTTACAAAGGAGGTTAAATGTGT